TATATTATATTTAGATTTAATAATAATTTTTAAAAAATCCTCAGATGATTAATAATATAAATACAGTACTTTAAATAAAATAAATATTTCTTTTAAAAGAAATTTAATTCTTTCAAAACAGAATAATCTTTTTGATATTAAAATGTTTTTATATGCTTATTTATTTTAAAATATCCTATTATCAGATTATAAAAGTATGATTTAATATAAGTAGTTTCTTTGCTATAAAACATGAAAGGAAAAATAATCACTTATCGACGTTTATAAAGGAAAAAAATTAAATACTGAAAGAATTAAATTCGGTAATTAAGGAGATAAAACTTTTGTTAGAATGCTGCAGAAGCAAATCAGTCATTAACGACTTCAGTCAAATATTATCAGAGTGGAATCGCTTATAACTCACAATATCAGAAAGTTAATGGAATTTTAAAAATAAAACAGTAATCTCTTTAGAAAATTAAAAAAGTACGTGTGAATCCTAACTAATTAAATTATAAAATGAGATAATATTAAAAAATAAGATTTTTCCTTAAATTAAACTTAGAAACAAAAATTTTCTATTTTTAAAAATTTGATTAAATATGGTCCTTTAATTCCATTCTTTATTCTTATTAATTATATTTATTTTATTCGTATTAATCAATAATTACTAATACTTTTATTAATGATATAAAAATAGGAAAAATTAATTTAATACCAAGATTATTTACGTTAATTATATTAATTATAGAAAGACGTTAGCTTATAATTATTAATATTAAGGTTCAAATTAATTATTTTCATAAATTGGATTAATTAATTTGAATGGAATAAATCTTAAATCTCGCATTGATTATATCCCTGTAAATGTTGTTTCTTATCAATACAGAAAAGTATTGCAGTGATGTTGTTATTGAAATTCTGCTTATTTTATGCAATAGTTTATGTTTAGAATTCATAATGTTTTTTTTAAAATTTATAAAAGAATTTATGCTCAGTACATAAAATTATATTTTATTATAATGATGTATATTATAAGCTTATTTTAGTATGCAATCTTGGTATTTAAAAGATGGGAAAAATATCATAAACCTGTTCACAACGGCAAAACTTCGTAAACACAATTTTCCTAAGATATTAACAATCTTTCACATAATATTATGCAAAGTAAAAACGATTTCTTTTCTCGCCTGATACTTTGAATAATAAGGGTAGTTTCTTACAAAAACCCCAAAAATATCCTGCTAAGATCTAGCTTGTTTACATAACTTTAGTAAACCTTTCTTGTATATTTTATACATTTAATCCTTTGCAAGATGGAAATATGTACAGATAAAATTTAAATTTTTATCCATAAATCATTATTTAATCAACTAATGTTCTAGGTTGGAAGATAGTAAATCACAAATTCTCTTTAGTATCAGTAAAAGTCAGAATTGTTAAAAATTTAAATATTTTATTTCGGTATTTCCAATTCTGCTAACGTTCTGTGTAATAGGTCAATTTTAATCGGCAATTCTCAAAATTGAGAATAATAATGATGAGTTTATATCATCCACTTCCTAAAATTATTATAGCAGTTCATTTTAGTTATAGGATAGAAACGATTTCCTGATTCGATTTATCAAGTTTATTCAATTTTCAGTTAATTTATTCGCTATTCATTGTATTTCGTTTAATGAATTATAAACAAAATGTAAAATTTGATCCACTTAAAATTTAAAATTAACTCTTTTTTTCGTATTTTAAATGTAATCAATCATAATTCAAAACAACTTTATTTTTGTGCAATTTTTAAGAGTGGATTCTAATCGACGATATAATTTATACACTTTTTAGTATTTAAAATGTCTTTAAATTTAGTCAAATTTCAATTTTAAATTGCTCTCGGCTTCGATTTTTTCGCCTTTGTTATTTATATTAATTCATATGGGCTACTAAAATTATACGAAAGCGAAAAAATGCAAGAATTTACCCTTTAGAGATTTTAATGTATCTTAACTTTCCACCTTCAAAATTAGATTATTTTTCTTTTATGATTATTGTTCTCGATTTGAATATTAAATACGCGTTTAGATTCTTGAATTATTCATCGCGAAATTTTTAAAAATTATCTTTAAAATTCTTTACATTCAAGTTACATGAAGTTAAATGATTTCTTTAAATAGCGTAAAATTTTGTATTAAAATACACAGTCCTATATTCATGTGATGAAGCATAATACAAAATTATATAAATTAATATAAATAGTTGCGAATTAAAAACGAAAATAAAACTTTTAGAAACTAGAAATTTGCCGTAATTAATAATTAAGTAAATTTCTATTAACAGTACAATACATTCGATTACTTTAAGACTTAAACAAATTATAAAGCAACTGGCAACAGAAGTGTATCAAAGCTAATTCATTTAATAGATCAACACCAAAGGAGAAAATTTATGCAAACAGAAAGGAGGTACCAATTTTGATACATAATACAAATTAATACGACGTCAAGTTAATACATGCGTCATTATTTGTGCAACATTAATCTTATTATCATCATCTTGATGTTGTCTTCCTCTCCCTTTCATCGACATTTCTCTGTTGATACGGTTGATTGAAATCTTTTATATTTTTATATGCTTTCGTTAAAAGGAAAGTTTTCTACAAAGTCATTTACATTGTTCGAATTTTTAAAAGAAAAACACGGATTTATCTAATATTTTGTGGTAGATTTAAGAAACTCTATACTCTCTCTCGCTTCATTAAATACATTAATAATTCTCGATTATAAAATTAATGAAGTCTGTAACGATATTTTTATAACGTATTAAAAATATAATAATCTTTTTTATATCTATAAAAAAAACTTAAGATATTTAAGAAATATTTTATTTACAAAAGAGAGAAATTATTCATTAAACTGAGTTAAGTCGAAAATGATTAATATAGAAGAAATGAATAGAAAAATAGTAAAAAATTCTCATTTATGTAAAATAAAAATAACTTATACAAACAAAAAAGATAAATATTTCAAAAATTGTAGCATTCTTAACGCCTTCCAATTAAATTCTTACAAATTTAACTTACAAGAAACAATTTTTCACACGTTATTTATATATTATTTTGTTTTTGCTGATAAATAGACTCTTTCGATAAGAAAAAAAGCGTATAATTATTATTTTATTCGCCTTGTTTTACTTATTATAGGAGAGCCAAAATAATAATTTTGATAAATATAACAAGTTCCTCCCTCAAGACTATAAACTAAAATTAGATCTGGGAGTTGGAAAGTGAAGTGAAAGTAATAATAAAGGAAAGAGAGCAAAATGATGACTGGACAAAATCAGTGAAACGGAAGTGAAAAATATTAAAATTGGATTTAGATGCATAATATTGTGCGAAAATTACGTAGCACGAAAATTAGTAAGTTATGAACGATGTAAAAATGAAAAATAGTAAAAATTTATAAATGGTTTTACAAAGATGTTAAACTTAATCAAATATAAATTGCTCCAGCTCTTAAGATGGTCAGTAAATTTTAATGTAGACATTAATATGAATAATTACATACAGCCTTTACAGATAACAAATTACAAAATATTAATATTTTATATTTTGTTTACGTCTCTATTAAATTGCATTTTTCTTTAACTAGAAAATCATTTTACGAGAAGGATTTTAAATATTTACATAAAA